AGTGTAGACTTAGACTATGAAGAGGGTCTTCTGAGAAGGTCAGATAGTGGGGGAGAGAAATAAATTTCCAGCTTGAGGTGAATGGTGCTATGGCTTCAGCAACTCAGAGTATGTCTACACTACCCCCCTAGTTCGAACTAGGGGGGGTAATGTAGTCATACGGAGTTGCAAATGAAGCCCGGGATTTGAATTTCCCGGGCTTCATTTGCATAAAGCCGGCCGGCGCCATTTTTAAATGCCGGCTAGGTCGGACCCCGTGCCGCGCGGCTACACGCGGCACGGAGTCCGAACTAGCCGGCATTTAAAAATGGCGCCGGCCGGCTTTATGCAAATGAAGCCCGGGAAATTCAAATCCCGGGCTTCATTTGCAACTCCGTATGACTACATTACCCCCCCTAGTTCGAACTTGGGGAGTAGTGTAGACATACCCTTACAGACTATAGAATATACAGAGTTACCATCTGTTCTACTGATCTTATGAAGAATAGGCTATGATTAGTTTTCATATCACTTCAGCCAGCAGTTTTCACACTTTTTCTACATTGAGACTTCCTATTACATATATAAATAATCTTGAATTTGGAGGAGCTTCCATTATATGTTTGTATTCTATCCCTGTAATCCATCTTTAACCCCCTAAAAAGATATATGTCTATGTATGAAGGAGTGGGGCACATGCCAACAGCACATCCTGATTCTCTTCTTTTGTCCAACTTGTGCCTTTTGAGAGCTCCTGTAGGAGAAGAGGGACATTACTGTTAAAATCGCTAACACTTTCTGCTCCTTTCTATAACCAGTTCTCCTGCTCTCCTTTCCGGTGAAGAGTAAATGACAACCATGGCATACCATAAGGCCTTGCAAATACACCAGGGCTACATCTACACTGGCATGATTTTCCGGAAATGTTTTTAACGGAAAAGTTTTCCATTAAAAGCATTTTTGGAAAAGCGTGTCTAGATTGGCAGGACGCTTTTCCACAAAATCACTTGCCAGTGTAGGCAGAGCCCTGCAGCTTTATGAGAAGGAAAAAACATTTAATCTCAACAGCTGATTCAAGACTGAAGGATCAGTTTCCTTTCTCTCTTTTTGGAAAAAAGAAGACCAGTTTATGTGGCCCAAGGGGAAGAATAACACTTCCAACAGCCTCCTTCTCACAATAAATGCTCAGAGCTCATTGGATAGAGCAAAATATCTGTTTGTTACACAATAAGAGGAGCTAGTGATGGAGGATTCTGGAGTGAAATAGGGAGACTTTACCACGAGGAGTATTCTACAAATAGGTCAGTGAAACAAGATACAAGTTTCTCATCAAAGAGCCTTCGTGGGTATTACTGCAGATAGGGTTGCTAACTAAGCCCAAATATCAATGCCCAGACTCCTGCGATGCTCCTTCCTTGAGGCCCCACCACTCTGCTTATTCTCCGAGGTCACATCCCTGCCTACTCACTCCATGCCCCCTGCCATCATGGCTCTCTCCCCTGCACCCTCACTCATTTTCAGAACTAAGACTGTGTTATGGGGTGCAGTAGGGACAGGGGCTGAGGGCTGTGGGAAAGGACTCAGGGCTGGGGCAGGGATTTGGGTTCATGAGAAAGGTGCTGCTTTCAGTAGAAGGCTCAGGGCTGGAAGTCAGGGTTGGGCTCCAACCAGACAGCACTTATCTTTGGCAGCTCTGAATCTCTGGTTGGTGGCACAGTAAGGTAGGCTTTCTGCCTTTACTGGCCCCATACGGCTCCTGGAAGCAAACAACATGCCCCTACCATTCCTAGACAGAGGAGCAGGGTGCAGGGAGCTGTGGAATGATCACTTGGAATATTTGAGCAGTGTGTGGAGTCCCCTGTTCTCCACCAACCTAGGTGCCATAGGCAGTGATGTGTCAACCAATCCCAGGAGTGGTGCAGGGCCTTGGTATACAGGAAACTTGTTTTAGTTCCACTGCACTACAGGCAGTCCCCGGGTTACATACAGGATAGGGACTATAGGTTTGTTCTTAAGTTGAATTTGTATGTAACTCAGAACTGGCTCCAGATTCAGCCGCTGCTGCTGAAACTGACCAGGGGCTGACTACAGGAAGCCCAAGGCAGAGTTGCTCCGGCCCCAGCTTCCTGGAATCAGTCACTGATCAGTTTCAACAGTGGCTGAATCTGGAGCCTGGGACAGAACAGCTGGGGCGCTGCCGGGTAGGTCCCCCCAGGACCAACCCGGCAGCACCCCAGCTGCTCTACCCCAGGCGTCCACAGCTGCTGAAACTGACCAGGGGCTGACTACAGGAAGCCCAAGGCAGAGTTGCTCCGGCCCCAGCTTCCTGGAATCAGTCACTGATCAGTTTCAACAGTGGCTGAATCTGGAGCCTGGGACAGAACAGCTGGGGCGCTGCCGGGTAGGTCCCCCCAGGACCAACCCGGCAGCACCCCAGCTGCTCTACCCCAGGCGTCCACA